TGAGGCGTGAGGCGGGGACGGGGCGGCCCTCGCCGGCCGGGGACGGGGCCGGGGCCCGGCCGCCGCCGCCCTCCACAAGGGCGAAGTCGGGAGAGGAAACGGCGGATTAAAGCGCCTCTGGGCCACCCCGGTGCTCTCCGGCTAAGCCGAGCCTCTCCGTCCTTTCCTGGAAGAAAAATTACTGCTTGGCTCTTTCTTTCCCGTTTTCTTAATTTTCGTATGTTTGAGAAGGCGACCCTCGGAAGGCTGTTGGTCTGCAGAAGGACGCGGTGTCTGCTTGCTTTTAAAAGGGATGGCTCTTCCAGCTCGTCGCTGGTGCTGCTTAAGCAATAAAAGGAGGTAGCGTAGAAAATAGAAGTCAAGCAACGCGAATACGGTATTGCATAGGTTCTGCGTTACAAATAACGTTATCTAGCGCGTTCTCGACCTGATGGTATTACCCTTTGCCGAGGTTGAACTGACTTTTGAAAAGTGGAATGATACAATACAAATCCAGACATCTGTAGCCCTATCCTACAAGAGAGTTGTACCAGCCGCTGATTTTTTAGGAGAGGAAAATTCTTCTTTTAGCTAAGAAGAGGTTCTGCAGTCTATGGTCGTGCTTGGCTTTTGCCCTCCCTTGACATTGGCCCAGTTGGATTAGGTGTGGCACATCTGCAATTTGATGTTGTACTTGCAGTGCAGTTGCCAGATTTGTCATATGAAACAACTCCTTCTTGGCAGGCATATATTAAATTTACGACTGTGTTATTCCCAAAGGACGTTCATAAATTGTAGATGTCTGTGCAATGCGTTCGCTTTTTTGTTAAAAAAAAATTGTATGATTGCAACATTTCTGGCATCTTTTTTTTTCTATTCACTAGAAAGCAAACCATAAATGATGTCATAAAAGCGGCTTAAATAATGGTACTATTTAAGAGCACGTTTCTTAAGCTACTAGACCTTAGCCAGAGGTCACAAATATACAATTCAGATTAAAATGTGAAACTGTACTCCTGCCTGTGATGTGTAATGTTTACAGTGGCAATAACAATCCTCTCAAGCATATTGCCTCTCGAGCAATATGCTCTAGAGGTCCCTGCTTGAGCAGGGAGGTTGGACTAGATGATCTCCAGAGGTCCCTTCCAACCTAAACGATTCTGTGATTCTGTGATTCTTTTGAACACTAAAATATCTGTGCAGAATTTGAAGTTTTAACTTATTTTACTATTCAATTGTCGGGTCATTAAGAAATACAGAAGGATTCCTCATCAATTACTTTGGGGATAAAACATATTATGTATGTAACAGTTTACAAAATTAACGTCCAGAAGTTTGGACTAGGAAGTACAAAATACGAAATCCAGTAACAACCAGGAGTAGGTCTGAAATGACTTTGTGGAATGCTTAGACGTGCATAAGGAAGATAGAGATCATTTAATTTTCATTTTAGCTATGCTAACACTCCTCTTACATGATTTAATGCAGAATTTTAAAACAAATTTTAATCTTCACTCTGCCTGCCTTTGCAATCTCACAGTGCTTCAGTTCAGAAGTTTCGGAGCACTTTTATGTTACTACATTGTATATGAGTGTCAGATTCATAGCCAGGGCAAAGCTCAAATCCTGTTACTCATAAAATGCCGTGGGCAGCTATTCCTTCACTTTCTGTTACGATATTTACAACAGTAAATCCCACAGTATAGGAGTGGAACTCTATCTTCCTTGCTTCATCCACTGTGATTCATTTGCAGTCCTTATGAATACACAAATCTCACTTCAGGCACTGAGGGAGTCATGTAGTCTGCATTTCAGTGCAGTCCCTTTATACTACTAAATAATTTTTGTTGAACAAATTGGATAATCAGCCAGTAGCCTCTTTTGCTTTTGGCATTGTAATAAAATTGATTCGTATAAGCGAGTCAACGCAGTAAGAGCTCTATCTGAAGTGAGGATTGTCTTTTCCTCTTCTGCTTAGCTGGTTACAAAGCATCTCGTGCTGCTGTTCCACTGAGTAAATTTGCTGCATAGATCAATATTGCAGGTATCAGTGCAAGTCGAACTACAGATAGAAACTTTGCAAACTTCTTTACAAGTAGGAAGGTACCGGACTGGAAAGTCAATAGTGCCTTAAAATAAAATAGACATCTTTTAAGTAAATATGGTTGTTTCTTTCTGCAGTTACTGACTGGCAGTGATTGCAGCAGCTTAGCGAGTGTAGAGCAAAACATGTTTATACTTGAGTAAAGAGCAATCAGCAGAGCTTTATTGTCTCACACAGAAAGCGTGAGCTAATGCAATATAAATTCATTGCATGCTAGAAATGAGAAGGGGCTGATTAAATAGCCACAGGGTTTCAGTGCTGCCACCAACTGTTCCTGTCTCTAGGGACCGGCTTTAGCTGTAAGAATATTCTTGTTTTCTGTCTTTTTTCTTTTTTCTTTTTTTTTTGCTTTCCCTGTAGGCTTTAGACTCTCTGGTATTCTGGTATTTAACAGACTCTTACTTTCTTGTATTACTATTAAACACATAAAAGGCTGTCTGTAATCTCAGACTGTGATTTTAATATTGTAAAATAAGCCTCATGTCAACAGGTCACATTTGCTTTGGTCTTCTCAGCACCCACTGCTCTTGTAAATGTTTGTCAAGACATCCTTAATTAGCCATTAAGCTAATTTTCATCAGGTTCTGAATTCTATAAGAGCAGTTAGGGAACTATGAAGTGGGACTTTCAGAATGCAGCCTTTGCTTAGTAATTTGCAGTGTATGAATGGTCAGCTCTACAATGTCTTTGCCATGCAAATTTGAAATTTATACCTCTTTGCCTGTTATTAATAAATTGTGATTTGCTTAGAATATGGAAAATTAGGCGACTGTATGACTCCATCTTGGGGAGGATTCATGGTCTCTAAGACTATTCTTTGCAACTATGTTTGGTAGGACTTGAGTGCACAGTCCAGCCTAACCTCCCCAGATGTCCATAATACCTGTTTATTGGTTCGCGGTCTCATCTGGAGCAAGACAACTTGCTGTCTGGGCAAGAGAAGAGCATGGAAATTGGCTTATGGCCAAACTCTGCTTCTGTAAACGTTAACGGTAGAGTTAATTTAAAACATTCAGCTCTGCAAATTTGAGCAGAGCTGCTGAAGATAGTGTGAACGTACTTGTTCACTGGAGCTATGTGAAATGCAGAAGCAGAACTGCACTCCCCGGGCAGCTGCATCACCTTTTACATAGACTCAACAAAGCTGTCACAAAAGATGTCAAGTTGCTAGTCTGTGCTGTTCCTGTGGGAGCCCCTACACTGCCAGACTTGCAGTTTCATGTATCTAGTCTTTCAGAGTGCAGGATTAGAGGTCATGCAGTTTCTATGAGCTTTGCAGTTAAGCGCTTTGGAAGTAGCCATTTACATTCCTGTTGTTACTGGCTGTCCTGTCATGACCCCTTTGCTTTACCTAACTCTTCTTGTGAAAACTGATATAATTACACGTTTAGCTTTTGAGCCATACCTAGGTTATCTTCTGTCCTGGCCCCATTCTTACTGCGCACTGGCCAACTTCCACTTCATTTGTTCTCTTTTTATTTATGTGGCCAAGGAAACTTTTATGCTTCATTTTAATTCCTTTCTGTAAAATCTGTTTATTTCAGTTTTTTATTTCAAAATTCTCAGTTTACTTCCTATCTTTCAAGACAGTGGGATTTTTTGCTCATCGGTTAATTCTTTGTACAGATATTGCTTACTGTGATTATAATCACTAAAGCTCCTTCACTTTTGCCAGCCTGCATATCAAAGACCTAGCAGGCTTTCTTAATAATGAAGAGCATTGCCCTGACGTTAGGGAGGGAGAGCAGGGAAGCAGGGAGGAAGGACTAGGGGAAACAGATTTCTCCAACAGGAAAGACCAAGGAGCCTTTTTTAGTTTTGGCATTATTTATGAATAATTATTTATGAATATTTATGAATATGCATAGGCTAGAGCAGGTAATTATTAAGAGAACAGGTATTGTTTCTGTTGATACTGGTTTATCTTTCATTCCTTATAATCTCAAAACTTTCATTGCTTTCGTTAAGTTTTAGAAGCACACAGAGTTGAGGATTGATTGCCAGAACATGAAATATATAGTGTTGTTTAATTATGTCATCCCCATTTAGATCACTGGGCACCTTCACAAACTGTCTTTTCCCCTTATAATCGGCAGTTAAACTGCAGATTCTTGCGGAGACAGCTGTATTTCAATACACCTGAAACAGCTGTAATAGTACAGTGATCTCTGGTCTTCCCTGGCCTGCGATGACATATTGTGGATCACATTATACTTTTCTCTCTGTCAGTATCTCTTCTGACTGTGTTAACTGTGTCCTGTAGTCTCAAGCAACACTGAAGTATGTAGAGGGTGATGTGTAACTACGAGCAATGCACTGAGGATAATTAACACATCTGTTTTATCTCTTATCTTTTAACTTTTTATGTCCTTTGCCTTATCTAGTGTTAACTCCTTATCCCTTATTTAGCTAGATAACTACGGAACATCTGTCTTCCAAAAGGCAAGAACATTAGAAGATGATGTTTAAGTTCCAAATAGAAGTAAAATAGCTATGTTTTTATTTTACAGGCGAGTTGGTCACTTCTTTGTAAATTAATAGAAATTTGTCCAAGTACTCTACAGAACGTAGCTCCTAAGGATGTTGGAAAGAACTGGGAAGTACTGGGTATTCACCAGTAAGTATATTGTATGCAAAGAGTCTTGCAGAATGCTTGGATATAATGACAGTATATATATGCAATGAAAGATAGTATATAAAGTTATTACATCAGCTTGTAAAAGCTTAAAGATTTTTGTGGGTTTCTTCAGCCTTGAGAAGAGAGCACTCATGCAAGCAGAGATCTGTATCAATATGTGTAAATACCTAATGGAAGAAATAAAGAAGATGGAGACTGACTCTTCTCATTGATGCCCAGTGACAGGACAAGAGGCAATAGGCACAAACTGAAATACAGGAAATTACATTTAAACATTAAACAAAAAAAAAACTTTTTTGACCGTGAGGTCGGTCAAACACTCAAACAGCTTGCCCAGAGAGGTTGTGAAATCTCAGTCCTTGGTCATATTCCTTGGGCCTGACTGGACGTGGCCCTGAGCAACCTGCTCTAATTGACCCTGCTTTGAGCAGGGATGTTGGATGAGATGATCTCCAGAGGCCCTTGACAATCTCAGCAATTCCATGATTATCAAGGTGTTATATTTTAATAGGCAGATGCAGTGTTGCATGGAGTTTCTTCTGTGCTTTCATTCCAAATATGGCGCATTATATCCACAAGTCTGAAAAGAGTGTAAATCCCCAGGAGGGTTCTTCATCACACCTAATTTTAGTTGTCTAAAAGTTAAATATTTAAATCGGTCTCCCCAACTACCTCTGAAGTCAGTGGACACAGTTACCTCCAGAGGATTATTCATTCCATCTATTTCATAGTTTATCCTGAAACAGATTGCGATGTGGACATGCATGTCTCTCTCCACTGACCATGGAGGGTCCCAGAAAAACTACGTGATCTTTACCATAGCCTCCTCAGCGCCCACGTAGCGTGAGGCGTTCAACAGAACCTCCTTTTCAAACTGAGCCTTTGCCACAGGGAGTGAATGAGCAGATCAGATGCTAACGTTGCTGTATGCCATTCCTTCCCACTGCTAATTTTTTAGCCAGCTGCTTATGCCTGTCTGACATCTTGACAGTTTTCTTTGCTGAGGGGAAACTTGTTCTTGAGCAGGCTCCAAACGTTACTGTCAGTGCCAAAGACAGAGCGAGGCAGCTAAATTGTATCGCAAGTTCCTCGTAGGTGGGTGGAACAAGTACTGCAGTGCATCTTCACCATATTGAACACACGCTATATTTGTAGCCAGGCAGCAAACAGTTATGGTAGAGAAGAAAATGTCATTTTATTTACAAAAAATTTCTACTTTTGTTGTATGTTAAAAGTGTATATTTTAGGAGAACAGAAATCTTAAGCTAGAAATAAGCATTTTTTTTTTTCTCTCAGACATGAGCTGTCTTCACCACGTTATAGTCATGCTTACAAACAGTAGTTTGGTATTGATCTAGGTGTTCTTGACTGATAAGGTAGTAAATAATTTTAAAAAACACTGTCACTTTGAGGAGAAAGGAAGGAAATTCCCTCAGTGTATTTACTTTCTTTCTACAAGCTCAGAGAGATTTCATCAGACATTTTGTAATCTGTTACGTTATACTCTCATATAGTAGAGGAGATTTAAATTTTTCACTTCCTCACTCTCGATTATGCTTGAAATGGCAGGACATATGCAAGGAATTTCCTCTTTATTTTATATGTGCCTTAGCATGTGATTGTTTACCCTATAGTGTACTGAGCCAGCTGATGTCATTCATATATTGGCACTTCACCTTCTATAAAATGCTATATGCTGAAAGCAGATGCGATGCCCCCTCCCCACAAATGCCCCATCCCCCTAGCAGAGATGGTGAGTTATTCGTGGACAAAGGACAGAGATTTAATAGCTTCAGAGCATTGACCAACTCTAGTTTTTTCATCCCCAAAGGGTGTAAGGAATAAGCAGGTCAAAGCCACTGCTCCTTAGGGGGTGAAGAGGCAAAGGAATCTTGATCCAGTGGATAGTTCCTGTGAGTGTGTGCGTGCACACATGCACTCCTGCACCCACTCAATAAGGATTACATTATATTAGGAATGCTTAAAACTACAACACTTTAATCACAAGGTTAAAGCACATTGAAGGGTGTCTGTTTAGCTACTCTACCAACTTAATTAGCGTGATTTTTTAATTTCTTTGATTCATCACCCTGCTACTTAGTCCATGCATCTGAGCTGTGTGCTGGGCCAGGAATTTGCCTCAGGGCAAAGAACCCAAATGCCAGCGTCCATCCTTTTCTGCAGATGTGCGTATAATAAGTCCAAAGTGTGTATGCAGAAGGTTCAGTGAGGTATGTCTTCTTTATTTAAAAAAAAAAATTAACTGAATTTTATTTTCCTTTCTTAAAATCACCTCACATACAGCATTCTGCCTAACCCCTAGATTTGAGCAGCAGTTTTGTGGACATAAGCACTTAAGGATGCAAGGCATAGTTTATTTGAACAGATGATATGTCTTTTAATAGGCTGAAACAGTTAGGAAAAAATCAGCAATCTCCTGTCTTGCAAAAGATAAAGGATATTATATCTCCCATCCAACTTTGCCTCTTATGCGTACTTTGATCATCACAGCTACAACACTAGTGCTATAACAGAGGAGAGATTAAAAGTAGAAATATTATAGTAGGAAGACAAAAGAAATTGCACAGTGATACACAGTATGTTTATCAGAGCTGGAGAGTGCAATGTGGATGAAACTTGGAGTGCTGCTTTTTATTTTTTAAGAAAGGTCATGAATATGTATTAATTGCGAACTATTGCACAATCCATTTTTGTTTGATATTACCCATACAAAGACCCTTGCATTTGAAGATGCTAAGATTGCAAAGTTAAGTTTTCCAAAGTCATGAAAAAATGAAAATGAAGGTTTCTTGCCATCTTTTGAGTAAGCCTATGTATTTTTAGCTAGTTTGTAATTACATGATCATGTTTTTTCCCTACTTTGGGACCCGTGCTTCATTCACTGCCAAGCCAGTGCTCATTTATTTTCAGTGTTATCTTCATCATTCAGTGTGTGACCCGCTGCCTTATTTGCTGCACGTTATCCGTATGTTATCTGAAAACTGGCCTGTTAATTTTCTTCTCAGCTTTTCTCAGTGTTCATCAATATTGTCTAGACGTTAAAAGTAAGATTGATAAATTATACATCATTATTTTTATGAAGTATAAAAGTTGTTAACATATCAGCACTTATTTCATTAATAACTTGAAAAAACAAACTGAAAGAAAAGTTCGAGAAAATGAATCAAGAATAAAAACAAAAATGACTTTTAAAAGCTTTTGCTAATTTCTTTAAATATTTCTATTTTTTAAGTAAATGTTCGGTAAGATTTTGTAAATGTAACTATTTCTTTAGCCACAATGCCTTTTTCCTTTTTTTTTTTTATTTTAGGCAGATTCTTAAAATGCTTACAATCCACAAAGGAAATGTAGATCTCTCAGCCATAGGACTGAAAGCATTAAATCTACTCCTCGTGTCAGGTATTGAGTGTTTTACTTTCCTACTTTGTCTAAGCTTTTAAAACACAGAATTGTGGTGTAAAATGTGTGATTGTACATATTGGACCTGATTTTTCTCGGTCTTTTACTCTGTAAGGTCATTTGAACCTGTATATAAAGTTGAAACAGTACTCTTTTGCACCTCTTTAACCCAGGTAGAAATGATTCCCCAAACCGCAAGGCTGTGAAGAACGTGATCCGTTATTTATGCCAACTCGCTATTAACGTAGACACAAATGCAATAGTTAAATAAAATTAGTAAGGCCTTATTTTTTCTTACTGAAGTATAAACTTGGTGACATTCTGACTTATTTCTTTTAGTACTTGTTAGTACTTCTGAGAACACTAAATCATCTCTGCTATATCTCTGTTATTCTGCTCCTCAGAGACCAGATCTTACCAGGTGCTGAGAATGTTTTGCATAGTACTGAGTTTCTTGATATTCTGTTGAAATTAGAGGTAGTTTGATTCGAGGTAGCATATAGTTTAGCAAGATAATACTGTTAAAATAGGAATGTATTCCATTGACTTTTAACAGGCTTTGGAATAGACTTGACTTTAGGCAGTTGAAGCTAAGCTGGCTGTTGAAGCTTTTGCTACGGCAGCAGAGTGAGACGGTGACTTTCAGAGGACGGTTCATGCTATTTATTTGTCTATTTTATGAGAAGATGAATTACCTCTTGAACTAGCTTTCCTCTCCCTTTCAACTGTAGAGACCCTAGAGGACTAGCTTGGTATGCCTAACTTTATCAGCGGAAGCAGGGTAGTACAGGTCTCGTAAGACATTACACTGTGTAATAACAGTAGCAGCAAAATATGGCTCTCAGTAAGTGCCTGCAAGCAGCAGCTTCTTTCCTTTCATTGTCAGGCATCGTAAGGGTCCTAAGCTGTTGACTGGATATTCCATAATAGGTTGTTCCTGACTGCTGTTCTTCTCCACAGTGACTGAGTAACCAAACTCAAACTCTCCTTTCCACTGTCTTAAGGAAAATATTTTAAATTGTACCTTATCAGAACCCTCCTAGGTATTCTTTATTTCTGTTTTTCCATTAACTTTAATTATAGTCTAGCTGGAGCTGTCAGGCCAGTGAGAATGCAGGGTGGTTGCAGCATAGAAAGATCCTCTCTAAAAAAAACAGCTGCAGCTGAAACACTGGAGCAAGCATTATATTATTATATGTCATGGATGTAAGTTTGAAAAATTGTCATGAACGACAATGAAATTTTCTAGCCTACGCATGCTTTGATAATATTTTTTAAAATAAAAAATAATTTTTAAAGACAATATTAAAGAATTTGGAATCTTAATGGTTAAGTACAGTGTTTCACTATAAATGTTGAGAACGAATCACTGCATCATGTAATCTCTTCTGCTATGCAGATATAATTGCTTTCCTGCTCTTGGAGGATGAGGTGGATGTGTTTTCCTTGGTATTTAATGCCATGCAGACGTTCCCTAAAAATGAAGAGATCCAACAACATGGATGTAAAGCATTACACCAGCTTTTTGAGAAAGGTATTTGTATTTTGTAGTTATTCAGTAGGAAAAATGTGTAGATTGGGAGAGGACTGCAAATGTCTAACTGCCAAGAATGAATACTTGCATTCCAAATTCTGTTTTGCATATCTTGTTCTTCAAATGAGTTACCACAAAATAGGTTTTCCAAGTCATATCAGAAATTATTTAAATCAGAGCAGTGAATTATGCAATTTTAAAAATTCAAAATGTATCTGCATTTCTGTCTCTGGAGCCAGCCAGAAAGATGGGATTCAAAGCTAGTCAATAACACTGGAGCAGAGCAGTAACATTTTATTTCTGCCCTTGAAAAAAAAGGTTATTAGTTGGAGACTGGTAAGTTTTAGTGTTTCCAATAAGGTGTAAGCAAGTCTAAGATCAACCAAAACATTCACAGTTTAGAAAAATGTATGATCCTGCTTTTGATCCTAACACTGTTGGAAGATACAAGTATCTTTCAACATACAATATTCCTGTATTTCTTCTGAATTGAATTTCTGCCAAGTTTCCAGGAACTGTGTGTGTGATGGGCAGAAATCCTGCTATAGCAGCCTTGCTTTGCGTTGTTTCAAAATAAATATTGAGAAATGCTAGCACTCCCAACAAGCCCACTGTCCTCCTTTGCTTCAAAGATAGCCTCCAGTTCTTCAGATTTGTTCTATCTGGCACCATTTTCTACTGCTTCTTTTCTAAGTCTTCCTCCCACACATCTATGCCTGGAATTGTCTTCTGCTTTGCTGCCCCTCTTCCACTCTGCCTAAATACTTTTGTCCTGCTGTATTTTCTCTTCAGTCTCCGCAAAGTTGTGAGCTTCTGAGACTTTCTGTGCATGCCTTTTATAGATCCGTAGGCTGTTCAGGATACAGACCTGCATACCTCCTCCTTGATGTCAATGCTAACCTAGCAAGTTCCTACGCTGCGCCTAGATATTTTTTCCTGACTGTAAACGACCTTCTCAGTTATACTAATGTGAATGTTCACCTAGCCGTATCATGAACCAGATTCAGGAAATGATTCTGCTTAAAAAATAAAAAATGTGGGGCTCCTTTTTAACCTGGATCATTTCCCTTATCTGGTTCACTGCACAGCTGCACAGACAGTTATTACAGCCCAAGTGACAGGGAGCAGGGATGAAAAAACCTTAAGCCATGGTTATGGTAAAGGTAAGATATTATTAAAGCATGACTGTAGTCTTTATGGAAAGAACTCTATACCGAAAGAAGTTGAAAAATGAAATTAAATCATGGAATATACAGAACAGAATTCCCTCAAATTATTTCCACTGTATGCTTAGCCTTTCCTTCGTTGATGCACCCTCTCAGTGAGGAATATCTGATGTTCATTCTGTGAAGAAGACCAAATTACATCTTTGTAAGTATCGGTTCACAAGGAAGCTTTTAGAAGTCAGAACTTGACTGCATAAAATGTAGGCTAGAGAAGGACTTTTACAGAGTAGCTCAGTTTTTAGTAAAAAGACTCTTAACTGTGGAAGGAGATATGTATGGATAGTACCTTACTTTCTGTGAAACGTAGAAAATAAATATAAGGAGACTGTATGAAACAATTGTCTTGTCTTAGATGGTACCAGAATGTGAATTATTTCCTCAAAGCGTACTGTATCTCTCTCGCTTTTCAATTTAGTTCCAGAAGAGCAGCTGACTGAATTTGTTGAAAGCAAAGATCATATGATCATATTGAAAGTATTTAAAGAGTTTCCAGAGAAAGAAGAGGTGATTCTTCCTGCACTTTATTCATTACATTCCTTAGCTGGTCCATGTAAGTGCATTATTGGAAGTCATTTTCAATTGCTCACTTCCCATAGCTCACGTCAGCTTACTCAGTCTGTGATATTCTGTGATTATAAAAAAAATTTCCAAGGCTCTCTAAAGATAAGCTGTAGGCAATGCTGCAAAATGTAGAGATACGTTTTGACAGAGGGAGGAGCCTTGCTATGACACTAGTTGGGTGTGGCAGACAAACCCCCTGCCTGTTTCCTTTGGGAAGTACTGATTTGCAATTTTTCATGGGAAATTTTCATATTCTGCCATTCTGATGAGGATGAAATCTGTCATAAAATACAGAGAGAGAGACTTTCTTCTGCCTCAAAGTGTTATGTGACTTAAGATCTTCATCATGGGTATTGAGGTCAAAGTTCAAATCCCTGCTCTGCATTTTGGGAGTTTTTTGGCTTGAAAAAGGCAAAAAAAAAAAGAGGTAAAGGGTATTGTTGGCAGAGGCTGTCCCACGAGGGGAAAACAGTCCATACAAATCCAATGGCTAGGACTAAGAGAAGGTGTCTGGACTCAGACACCCCTCTATGTTAATTTAGTGGTGGCTGCAAGGAGAAGGGCATTGACAGCATTGCACGCATTACAGAGCCTCATGATGTCCTCACATCTTGTCCGGTAAGACTGGAAGAACACCTCTTCATTATGTCTCATCTTCTGATAACAGTGGTCCTTAGTCAGGTCCTGAGATATGTCCTGGATGATTTGTGTCAATTTGTTAACTTGCTATGGAACCTTGTTAACTTAGAGGCACCTGTTGTCAGCTTCCTGCTGGAAGCCTTAATTTCGGCAAGCAGAATCCTGCTCTCCTCCTCTTCTGAGATACACGTTGTTGTAACTGCTCTTGGCAGAGGTGAATCCTCATAAAGCCTGGCTCGTACATCCTGTCAACTCCATAGGAACCATGCTGGCCCAGTTCATGCCACAAAACGAACTGAACTGCAATTTCCCACTTTTCATCGGACTCAAAGCTTTTGGTCTCTCTTTCTCAGACTTCCAGCTGTGCCAGTTTGTGTTAAACAAATAGTCCTCAAGCCAGAAATAAATTGACCTTAGCCCTTAGAAGATGCTGCCATTTTCTGAGGAAAAGGATGCCAGATCTTAAATGCTTTTTTAGAAAGTAGTTGTGCCACAGCTCCAGGAGGAGGAGGACGTGACAAAGACGCCATTCCTTCGTTGGGGCCAGGATTTTTTTCAAAGATATGTTGGGTTCATATTTTGTACTATACCCTGGGTGGACATACACAAGGATTTTATTAACTGTATTTTTAACTACCACGATGCTGTTTTGTCTTATATTTCTGTGTGCAGGGTCTCGGAGCTCAGCAGGAAATGATGCATTCTGTCTTTTTACGAGTTCCTGTGGATGTTCTGTTGTATCTAGCTTGCACAGTAAGAAGTAAATATAGAATTTGTAACGACTTGCAGGATACTGCAGGAGCATTAGATGAACGTTTCTGTACCCTCTCTACACAATGGACATATGGCAGACCTAATTTGAGCCAGAACAATAACTTGCTAACTTGCCCCCTCAAAAATTAGGAAAACTCAGAGAAGCAAACGTAGTTAAAACAAATAAATGGAGGTCAGCATGTCTGATTTTTTTCTTAGCTGTATGCCTCAGGAATATTACTGAAATGCTTGATTTACTGAAGTATGACTAGAATACTTGAAATATTTACTTTATCGCAATGATGTAATAACACCATTTATAAGATCTAATTAATATTTGTAAAACAATTTGCTCACCATTGAGAAAAATACTACATAAGAATGATTTGTGAGGAGGTTCATGAATGTCTTCTATGGCAGTACTGAGAAAAAATGTCACCTTTCATACAAGTTTCAAAGGTAAAACTGAAACATAGGCCCAGTTTTCTAAATAAATGCGTATAAATAAATCATATATTAGAACCCAGTCACCATGTATTTTTTCATAACTGCAGTTTTTGTTTCTGTTTCTTTCTTTAGCCAGCAATGTTGAAGTGCTCATGTCTGGAAATGTTCGCTGCTACAATGTTGTAGTGGAAATGATGAAAAGTTTCCCCAGTAGTGAAGCAGTTCAGGAAGTGAGTTGCTGTTTGTTGCATAAGCTTACGCTGGGTAAGTTCACAGAGGTTTTTATAGTCGGCGTACTTTAACTGTACAGGAGTTAAGAGTTACTGGTAACAGGTTAATGGCAACAAGAGAATTACTATTCCAGTTAATTGTCAGTGTAATTTAGAGCTCCTTGTTTCTAATGGTGTAAACATATTGAGGCATCACTTGGCCACACTCGATATGGAATGTTTTTGTGTAAAGCAGTAGTATCAATGGCAGAAGCTGCCATAAGAGTCTAGAGTGCATAAAATAAGAGAAAAAAAAACAGATAAGAGAAGCATAAGATTAGAATGGGAGACTGTACTGATCAGCAAAGCTTGCTTTCTAAAGTTACTGTAGAATGGAAGAAAATTCCTTCTGGGAACTTCTTTTTTGAAGTGGTAATGCTGAATGTGTGAGAAGCAGTTGGTGCTGCAGAATTATCTGGGAGAAGGTGTTCTCCAAGGCTGTGTTTTTGCTCCTTGTGATGCGTTTACCTTCAAAGACCTACACTGCATTTCTACCCAGTGATGAGGCTTATCTTGGGGCCCCCTGTGCTGTAGCAGTGAAAGGACCACTGGTTCCTGGGCTTCCCTTGACTTGGGCAAAAGGATTTGGACCGTCTGGGCTGACATGGGCTAGCGTAACATCAAGAGAAATGGTGGCAGTGTCAAATACGACTTTGTTGTGCCTCTTCACTGCTCTGTGCTGTGTCTTGCTAGTATAGTAAGATGATCTGGGCAGTTGCCAAGGACCACATTAAAGGAAGTGCGGGCAGAAATAAATATTTTTTCTTTTCCTGCTGCACACAAAAAGACGATAAGTAGCAGCCAGAGCAGCCCACGCTCCATGACAGGTTCTTCTTCAGGGAATCTGCCGAGGCCCGTTAGTCATGAGTTAGTCTTCCGAACTCTCGTAGATGGTGGCCTGAAGCTGCTGTAGATGCTAGTACCGATGCATGACTCTGCATAATCAAATCAGTCCCATCCTGTCACCATCTGTTTCCCCTTCTTCATGCGAATGTTGTAGAGGCTACAGGTCAAACTTCAGTACAACCTAGAGCAGCTTCCAGTTCCCATTCAGAAAGCCGGATAAATATTTCAAGAAAATATGGTGACTGCTGAGGTGCAGGGTTGCAGGGTTTTTTGGCAAGAGGTGATGTTACCCATGAATGGTTTCATGAGCAAGGTCAACTGAAGGTTGGGCAGGGTTACTTAGCACTTGTGCACTTGTGAGGGGACACAGCAATTCTGCTGACATGCCTGGATCTTGTCCTACACGCACACCAGCCTGATTCATGGCCTTAGTCAGGCTGGGCAGCGGAATATGCATTTGTCATACATGTTTACTGACCAGCAACCACTAGTGGCAGTAAAGCAGCCACAAGATCTGTTTCTTTTTTCGGCATAACAGATAAAGAACTTGATGAAGCTTTTTAGAAGGGGGTATGGAAAGAGGAAAGAGACTGTATATGCTGTCCTCAGCACCACACAGATAGGGAAACAGGTGTGAAATTGCAATGAACTCCTTCCTGTCAATCATATGAGTGGCATAGTCTGGAAGATTTCCATGGAGCCAGCGTGGCTGCTCAAATTATTCTGATAACCAGTGTCTTCCTAAACCTGAATTAACTGGTGGTGAAATGGTAAAGTCAGCGCCTGCTGGTGTGTAGACGCTAGTCATGTGTACTTGCTAATTTGGTAATGACTATCCTAGATTTGACTGTCATCAGAATTTTCGCTGACTGATAACTGTTTGACCAGCCATGTATCCGGCATAATTACTCATCACATGGTCTAAGAATCTTAGTTTCTGTGAGATAAGTAACCTGTTTACGCAAACATATAATTTCCAGCAAAATACAGCGAGAAACAGTGATGCTGCTAACATGACCACACTTACTACAGGGTAAGGAGGAAAAGATTATCTCCAGTTGCATTTTTAATGGTGTTAAGGCCAATACTTTAGAAGAATGATGAATCTGGAAAGCACTTGCCTTAAAGGATGTTCTTAGTGCTCTGCTGAGTTGGCCTAATAGGACTAAATGCTAAAACTTTGGGAGAGGTACTTATCTCCCAGTGAAAGACCTAAACGTTCAATGTAGTCAGCACCTGGAAGGCTCACGAAAATGAGATTAGCTTTTCTCATGCATGAAATTGTATTTTTGATGCGCGAATATAATAGACTTTAGACTTCTTAATTTCTCACCTTATCTGGAGGTTTTGAGAAACACTGATAACAGATTTCAGTTTGACCTTTCATTTCGCTAATGTGATTATCACTTTTACTAATTAAGAATTAAGCAAAATTGAATATCAAAATAGAAAATGTAACTATCAGACTATATTTTACAAAGTGAGTGCTGCTGTATTATTTTATGCATGACATTTGTTCTCGTAACAAATGGGGAAGTTACTCTTATTTGCTTGCTTTTTGCAATATTCCTTATATTTAACCTACAGTATAAAATACTGTACAGATTATGTTAAAAATTGTGCTTTAAATCTATTTATCATTAAAAGGTAATTCTTTCTGCCCATGCAAAATGTATGTACTTCACATTTATAGTGCTGACCTTGATCTGTTCAGTGAGGAGCACAAAAGCAGAAGGCAAAACAGGGTTAAACCACTTCCTTGATAGGATCAGTCAAATCCTTGCAGGATTCAAGATCAGAACTCCATTTGCTTCCTGGCAGGAAGTGTGCAGATGATATGCTGACTGTATCCTTGTTATTTTCATAGCAAGTGAGCACTTTATTTTGCACTAAACCTCCATCTTCTGTACCTGGTTTAAGGAACAGTAGTATTATAAGTGGGTCATCTGAGGGTGGATAGTCTCTCTCTTGAGAGGCTTCAGGGAAATAAAAAGGATTCTCCAGGGTTCTTTAGCATATATTAGGGAAAACAGAAACCAGAAAACCTAGATCCCCGTTGTTTTTTTTTTTCTTGACGTCTTTTTTCCACAAATAGAATATTGCTGTAATAACAAATCTAATGTTCGCTACAGGTAAAGTTTGTGCGTTGTGTGCTGAGAAATTTATATTCGTAAGATAAGTGTATAAAGGTCAAGATACATGTTTATATTAATTTAATATTTTCATCTATTTTCAGGAAATTTTTTCAACATCCTGGTATTGCATAAGGTTCCAGAGGTCATTGTGAGGGCTGTTAAAACATATTCTGAAAATGCAAAGTTACAGGCTGCAGGTCTCGCTTGTTTAGCTCTTCTCAGTGAGTAATTTACTTTATTAATAAATGGGCAGATGAATGTTCTCGTACTGGTGATTTCCTGCATGCTTACCATTTGTTGTTTTACTGTGGCCTGCTTGTGTTCATGCCACATACCCAAGATCATCTTCACGGTGTTCAAAGTTGGTGCGTTATGTTGATGGATCGTAACAAAGCAACCTGTTTGTTTGTAGGCAAATATTGAATAATCCTTCCTTAATATAAACTCTCTGGAGACAGCAATGCTACTTTAATGCTGGGATTGCCAGCTATGACAGTACTCATTATCCTGTGGCAGGATGCTTGTGTTTGAGTTCTGTAATCAATTTTAAGGTTTAAACTTTTCCTTGCGTACCCTCCAGGCACGATTTTGAAAAAAAAGTTAGTTAGTGGCAAAAAGCAGAAGACCTGATTGTCTCAGAGTCTGGGTAATTGCTTTATACTGAAGTCAGTAGAAGTGTTATGTAGGGTTCCCAGAAATAGCAGATATCAGAAATTGGCGTATATCCTGGGAAACTTCAGATACCACGTTAGTGTTGATACCTTACTTTTTTCTTAAGTGCCAAAGATCACAAGTATGAAATGATTTCTTCTGAATTACTGCACTTTCTGGGGCCAAATACCTCTCTCTTAGCAACCGCAGTTTGCATTTCTTGTTTAATGGCACTGCTTCAGAGTGAAGATGGCGCTGTAATGAGTGATTAGGTGTAAATGATCCACAGTTTTATTTTTCTGTCTATGAAATTCTGTATGTAAATACACAACAACAAAAGTATGTGCAGGCCTTTTCAGAGGGTAAGTATTGACCGATCTGTGATTACCTACCTAATTTACTACACTGTAATGGGAGTTTTAAAATTCCTTCATAACCTTGAAGAAATTATTCAAATCTGTCACAGAGTTTATATGAAAAGGCTTCTCCCTTCCCAGAAAAGACTAATTCACACCACGTTTGTTTTATGAAACAGTCTTCAGCTGACTTTCTCACATAGGCAGTGTGATCATCTCCGTGACCAGGGGAAGGTTAAATCTTAAGGGTTTCATTTGCACATTAAGAATTTATTGTAAATATTTTATATTTCAAGCTGAAACAATATTCTTAAGCCGAGACTTAGAGGAAAAAAAAGAAGAGGAGGAGGACGAAAAATTATGCTGGTTGGAAGCCTGTTACAAAGCATTAGAACAGCACCGGAAAAGCACAGATGTACTGGTGAGAATATCTCCGTGATGTGGATGTGGGAAGATTACAGTATGTCTTAAAAAAATTTTAGCAACATAATTTTCTCTCAAATGTCTTCATACAGACAAGGCTGGATTAGATTTAGAATGAATTTTTGTCATTCCCACCTTTGTTCACCTGCACTGGTTTCAGTTCCTGCAAGCTCTGGATCAAGTGTATTTAGTTAGTTAAGATGAGACTTATTACCTGCAACTTTGGCCATCTATGAGTTTCTTGTCTACTCAGCCCTCTGTATAGAGCAGCAAAACACAGGCCAATCCACGAAAGAATTAATCTCAGCCTAAAATAGGTATCAAAATGAAAATCAAATAATGAGAATGTGGCACATGCTCATAACTCAGGCCTATCCCAGATATAAAGAATATGACACTCTGCAGCTCGCTCTATTCCTGCATGAAGCAATTTGAGTAATTGTGATGGAATCAGAATTTTGAATCTGTTTGGATTTTTGTACCCCTGTCATGGACTGAAAAACAGTGAAACTATTTAAAACTTTTTAAAAATATTTTTGATATTCTAAAGGTGTATTTTTTAAATCCTTTTATTTCCTCTTGTTTTAAAGGAAGCTGCATGTTGGGCTTTGAAAAATCTGTTTCTCTATCAACAGAACCTTCATGAGAAGATTGGAGATGGAGATAATCAGTCAGTATTAATACTTTGAACTGTATTTTTAGAATGAGAAAAAAAATGGAAGCCTATTATTAGGCCATGTGGGGTCTCGTGTTTCAGTTATTTTTATTTCTTCTTCTTCTTTTCTAATACATCAAGAAGGGCATGGCCATCAACAACACTTACAAAAGTATCTTCCTTGAAAAGCATGCTAACCATGAGTCAGGCAAAATTCTGAGTGTTTTAATACGGAGTCGGGATGCAGTCTAATAGGTACAGTTCACAAAGAGTTTCCATCTGCAACAAGGATAGGATGTAAAAGTAGGGAAAATCGTGACGATTAAGACATCTAGTAGGATGTATGAAAAAGCAATGCTTATTTCCCCACAATTCAGATGGCAGGGTATAGTAGGAGGAGTGCTGCCTCACCAGGGAGAAACTAGACATGAATAAAACAGTTTCATTTCACTTGAACTCTTCCTCAGAGCTTAATAACTCTGTTCTGTACACTTTTCTGGACCTCGAGTCACTCAGGAGGCCTGATTCCGAGTGGATTCAGTGAGACTGGGAACAGGCTAACATGCATAGTTTGCGAAGGACTTTCTGTCATCTCTTGCTATGGAAAAATGCTAGAAGCCAAGTACAACCATCTGAAAATTTAACTGGGTTGCTTATTTAATTATGTCAGTACCTTTTTAGGAAACTGAACTATTGTTATGAAGTAACTGCCATCATATGGTCACTCTGCAGTGATTTGTTTCTTTTTATGCAAGGTTCCCAATAGACAGAGAAGTGATGCTGTCCATGTTGATGCATTCCTCTTCAAAAGAAGTGTTTCAGGCAGCTGCTAGTACTTTAGCAATTTTGTCACAACAAAATGGTAAGGGAATTTATCTATCTTTGCTTTCCAATTCAGCAGAAAATTATTGCTGTAGTATTGGAGAATATTAAAAGTATGCTGTTGTATGAGCACAGTATTGCCTATGATTAAAATATTATGCACAGTTGTATTTAATGAGAAGTCTGTTCCTTGCTCTGAAGAAGGTGTTGTTAGCAAGTATCAAAGAGAGTATCTGGAGGTTAAGAGCTCTTTGCCAGCTCATATGTCGCAATTGCCATTTTTTGAGCAGGAGACATGAAAAGAGAGTGTTCTCTTTATATGCTTATTTAAATATTTATCATTATGTTTGACTTTTATCAAGAGCAGAATTTGTTGAAACTCGCACGAGTGAGGATTACAGCCTGACAAATATTATTTTCTTGCTTAACAAAGGAGGTTTGAGCAGTTCTGTTGACTTTAGTGGATCAAAGCATGTGTAGAAAAGTTAAGCATGTGCACAACAGTTTTCAAGATTGCTTTAGTCCTGATTGTGTCCCTAACCTGATTTCCTAACTTTTTTCAGTTTGCACACCCCTCAAAGTTTTTCAGTGGCGACGTGGACCCTCGTGTAGACTATTCAAACCTACTGACAGTTGGCCTTCTTTTCTTAAATACCTTTCCCAGAGGCCCTTGAAATGGTTATGGACCTCAAGTGGTTTGTAGACTGCAAATTGAAAACCACTGGCTAGAAGATGTAAGGCTAGCAGTTAAATACCATCCTTTGGGTGAGAAAGCATTATCTTATCACTAGGTTACCGGGCCATCCAAGTACATAAAACCAAACAATGAAGTTACAGTTATTTGTGAGGAAAAAAAGTACCTATATGAAGAAGCAGATCTCATAAATATATGCGTACTGTGATAATATATTATACCAGGTACTTCTATAACAACATTTAGATTGACTGCTAATGAATGTAAGGACTGGAATTTCAAAAAGAAACTGACAAGCGGGCATCGATTCCCATTGGAAGTCCAAAGCAAATTTTTATTTTGTCTTGTTTTCTTCCTTTGTCTTGTCATCTTTTTTTTAGTGAATGTTGTTACACCACAAACAATAGGCATAAAGAAGCATAGTCAAACCCTCTGACAGGATATAATATTGCTTGAATAGCCATTTGAAATGGATCTACTGAATTGGGAAAGACGAGAATTGGCAGTAGTTACCATGATAACATAAAATATTTGTAGAGTGTTCTGAGCTCTGTTGGTTACAGTTATAGCTGCAACCTGTGCTACGGCTTGGGTGTTTGAATTAAAATGAAATAGGTGATAGGTTTTTGAAAGTTATAAAATTCTAGCTATCCTACATGAGCACAGAGTGCAATTCAGAAAAAAATTTTAAGAATAAAATATTTAAAAAAATGAAAGAGAGCAGTACATTTGCCTTCCTTTAAGTTAACTTTGTGTAAGTAAAAACACTAGATGCATTTAAACTTACAAGACACTTTGAGGTTTATAATGCTTTTGGTTAAACACATATACAAACACAAGTCAACTTTGGCTGAAACCATTTCCCGTTCTAGTTTACAGTTTCCTTTCATAACATGTATGTTAGGTGAAGAAAGAATCAAAAAACGGAAAAGAAATTAGTAGTTCTGTTGTTTTGGAGAACAGAGGTAAAGTGGAAAAACTACAGCAAATTTTTGTAGATTGTTGGGCCAATGTTATAAATATATGTGCGTGTGTGTGTGTGTGTGTGTGTGTGTGTATTTATACATATGTATTTTAGCTTATATGATCCTTGCTATTTTGTGTTGCAGTAAATATTAGGAAGACGCTTTTGGCTAAGGGAATACACATGAATGTTTTGGACATAATGAGGAAACATCCGCATTCTCCTGAGGTGGCTGAAAGTTCCTGCAGAATACTGAATCATGTTTTTGAAGGAAGGTAACATACACTTAAAAATATGTGACTTCTTTCAAAGTGAAAGCGTGTGAGATTCAGAGCTGTAATAGTCAATGTAAATTATTGACCATTTCACTTAAGTTAAAATTGATCCCAGGCTGATGGCCCTGTTCAAGCCACTGAATTTTGTAAGCCCTGTAGTCAAATGCCCAGATGGATATGTGGAGGGAGCTCTGTGTTCTGCCATTTGTGATTCTTGAGCAATGAGGTTTGAATAGACCATCTGGCCCCTCCTGTTAGCCCCACTGAATTCCACTTAGAGCTAAGCAATTTTCCCCAGTATTAATGCCAGTTGTTAAAATAACGTTGTGTTACTATTGCTTTTGTATTGGCTTTTGCAGATATTCTAGCAAATGAATGGAAAACTAACTTGTGATTCGTACCAGTATACCAGATACCAGTATACAAGCTGGAAGTGTGATTCCAAATCTCTTGCCAAGTTTCGCTAGTCTTCTCCCGAAGGCCTGTGTATATGCTAAGCTGCTTGTGAAAAAATGATAGACTCAAGATTTAGTCCCAGAAATTTTTAGAAATAATTTTATGTTATAATGAAGAAACTCTCAAAGCTTCTATAGACATGTTCGCAGGCATAAAAATATTATAAAATGAAAGAAGAACGTCACCTTAAAAGTAAATTAGTGGCCTTTGGCTACTGATTGCTAGGAAAGCTGTTGGCATTGAGCTGCATTATTTTAGCTTCCTTCTTTTTCTTTGAGATTAGAACCTAATGTGACTGGTATTTTTGTTTATTCTGTCCGTATCTGTCAATTCATCATTATTTTGTGACCATTGTAAAGCAGTAAGTTAAGGATCTTTTCATGTATCTGTAATAGGATCAAAGTGAAAGATATAATCCACTGTTCAAGTACCCAGAATTAAATAGTATGCTCTCTGTGTATTACTGTTTTGGATTGAGTTGAAGATTTACTTCTCAGTGGTTTAAAATGGAAGTAATTACATATACTGCGGTGATGGAGGGGCATGAGAATAAAATATTTGCTATGAAGAGGGAAATTACCATAATTTAATTTATATTTCATAGCTAAAATCGAATTTACAGTGTTCTAAAGGGGTATCACAAAGTGCTCATTAAGAAAGCAAACCTATGTAAAATTTAGAAATTCTTTTTTTTTTTCCTAAATAATATTTTCAGTTTCCCTCATCTGGATATAATGACAGTAGCTGCATCAGAAGTTGTAAAAGCCATGAAGAAACATGAAAAATCGCTCTCTGTACAACTAGAAGCACTTCGAGTCCTTTTACACTTTATGACACCTGGTGAGTCATCTGAAAACATATCATACACTAAATCAGAGAACATAATTTTATAGCTGAGTTTTAGTCCTTCTTACTTCATCAGAGAGTCTTTTGTGGTACTTTGGAAAATTAACTGAAGTTCTGTGTTTAACACAGAGCTTCTATAACTCAAATTTTTTTCAGAACAACTTTTTGCAAGTGTCTGTTAGGAGTTTTAGTTGAATAATTACCAAACCAGTAACTTCGAAACCAGTAACTTGACTAACATGCAGAACAATTTCAGGTTTTCAATTTCCTTCTGTTCTTTGAGTTATAATCATAATAATTTCTAATTCTTACAATGAACAGGAGAATTAAGACTTGATATGTATATTTTAACATGCATGCAAGGTTTTTTTTGCCAAAATCCTAGAGGTGAGGTCCTTCTACAGTGTAATGAAACAAAAAGCACAAAAATTTGAAGGGGAAAAAAAAGTCATGAGAAAAATAGTAATCAGAATGAAAGCTGACGTGACTTTCAAACGATCTCTACATACTACTATCTGTAGTGCCACTTGCCTACAAGCAAGTTAAATCTGAAAGACCGTTCTGTGTTCTTTTATGTGTACTTGCCTTCCACTTATGTCATGTGTGGATAAAAGTTGGCCTCTGATGTGCTGCCAAGGAAAAAAGGGCAATTAGTATATGGCTCCTTTACAGTATCTCCTTTTCAGAAGGAAGGGGCATTCTGAAGTAGGTATCAGAACACCAAGAAACCCTGTAGCTCAAGACAATAATTTATTGCAAGTGTACCTTAGGCAAAATTCTTTGGCACGATTTTACGTTTTCACAGTATGCAGTGAGCAAACGTATGGTGAAATCATCATTTCAAACACAGTGTACTCACGCTGCAGTGTAAATCTGGAGGGAGTCCAGTCCGTTACTACAGTGTTTTGAAGATGTCTTAAGATCAGAAGTAGGTCTTCTGAGTCATTTATGAAAATCTGTGTGTTAGTTTGATTATAATACTGGGTTAATAGTGCGAATTCTAAATCTGCTCTTCTGAAGAAGCCTGTTTTTCGTTGTTTCAGGTACAAAGAACGAACGCCAGAATGGTTCTTCCAGAGATGTGGGCGATGCTGCTTTTGCACTTACATTAAAAGTCATTAAAAGTCAATGTTTGTTGGAGGGAACTCATGCATTGGTGCTTGATGCTTTGAACAGGGTATAGTTAAAACTTTATCCTAATAAATTTTGTCACTGTTTAACACTTGCAGTGATTTATAACTTCCACAGTGATTTTGCTGTTGTTCTGGGAGAGTTAATCTTAGCTGAACCCTGCAGTTTCATTTATTATTTGGCATTTCTTTTTTTACTTTCAGCTCTGGAATATACTAGATCATCTTTTATACAGTGATTCTAGAGGATATTTATGAAAACGATGCCAGATTTTTTCCGAGTGTACAGTGTATTTTTCATTTTTTTATGGACTAGTTTATTCAAGAAAGGTATCCTCATACCTTTGCCTCAACTATACATTGAACTGAGTGGTTCCTTAATACAGCTTTCGTGCATACATATTTCTCTACTTTCAACAGAACAGTATTTCTCAGTTGTTTCCATTCCTTGTACTATTCAATTCCATATGAATTTCCAGCCGTGGAAAAGAGAATGATCATAGTGCCTTGAGGAGGAATCTGGCGTACTTTAACATCAAGGAGAAGGGCAAAAAATGAACGTATTGTGATGAAAAAGGAGGGAAGGAATAAGGAAAGAGATGGATATGACTTCACTGAAATACCATTGCAGCTTTGCCAGATGGTGTGGTACCCACATCCCCTTTTCAGACCTAGACCTCATCTAGGTTTTCTCCATCTAGAAATGGGGAAAATTGGGAAAAATATTCACAAATAAGCTATTGAGTTGCTGTATGACTAGCTAAATAAAGAAATACTTTTAAAATCTTGGGAAGGGGGCTTAATAGGTATGTTGCTTCTGCCTCTCCCCCAAAGGCATACCCCACTACCCGTATGAGGCGGGCTCCTGAGCTGGTAGAGAGGAAACTTTTTCAGTAGTCACTGTGGTTTTGGGCCACTTGCCCAGTCCTCAGAGAACCCCATTTTTGTTCAGTTTCTTGAACCACGAAAGAAGTGCATTTTCTCACTTTCTTTTTGCTAGCAAAATGATGTGAACTTGTGAATGGTTTTAGTGAAACTTTAAGAAAAAAGAAATCACACTGTCTGGTGGAACAGTAGCCAGGGAATATTTCAGGATCAAAGGTGAAAAACTGGGGAGGTTATGAGCAACTGGAACTGGGGGTTGAGAAGGAAACCTGTATGAAATTGTAATTATTGTGATTTATTGTCACATCAGCTGTAATTTTACATACTTTAGGAACAGCAGACACGCAAGTCTCCTGTTGCGATTGTAGCAGGGTAAACTGTTGGTCTGATTTTATATTGATTTCTCTGTTAGTTTATTGGAAACCCCAGTATTCAGAAGTGTGGACTGAAACTACTTACTTCTGTAGCTGAGTGCACTGGTGCTCTAGAAATTTTAACCCAGCAAGGAGCTACTGACACTGTGCTTCACACCCTGCAGATGTATCCAGATGAACAAGGTACAGAAGATAGTTTGTTACTTGAATGTGAATGATGTGAATGTGAATGATAATAGGAGGGGCTGACCCACCCTCAGAGCGGTACCTACCTCTTACGCTCTTTAGTAGTGAACGTGCTGTAGGTTACGTGGCCAAAAGAGGCTGCAGTACTGCATAGTCGCTAGATTCATCCACTTTGTACTTATGTCTGGTCCTGTCATAGTTTATGCGAATAACTTTCTGGAATATTAGCAATATAAACTCAGTTCATGTGTTTATTCTACCCAGAATATCTGAATAATCAACATTCTTAATCTTTCTTTTTTCTTCTAGACATACAGTGTTTGGGTTTGAGTCTTCTAGGCTCTTTGATTACAAGAAAGAGTTTGTGTATTGCAACTATGCATGTTCTGTCAGCAGTTCTGGTTTCCACTCTGCGACGATTTAAAGAGGTCACTGAAATCCAGATGCATGTATGCGTTATTTCTTGGTACAAAGATAAAAGTGAAAGGCAATACGTTGGAAAATTATTTTAATGTAGTTATAGTCGAAGTATAATCCTTTATTTGAATTACTTCTTTCTGATTGTATTATAATTACTAGATTACTGTAAGCCTTTGAAATTGAACCAGTAGAGTTGTCATAGAGGTGAATTTCTCGGAGGCATATGTTCAGTCCAGAGTACATAAACATAGGTTTGGGTGTTTATCTAAGACTTCTGAGATCTGCAGACTAAAACAAATTTCTCAATCACAGCCTGTCATTCACTTGATCTATAATCATTTTTGAGGTAACCATCATTATAGTTTTGATGTCCTTTTGTGAAAAGTAATAAAAAATATCTTATTTCCCAGGTCTGTCAGCAGCAATAAGCTTAATGTTACAGCTGAGATTAAAAAATCTTGAGGGATATAAGTATGTAAGTGTGTGAATGTTGTACTTGAGAGGGATTTTATTGAAGTAGAGAGGGATGGATTTTGCATCCGCTTTTGAATGTGCAAGAGCAGTTCTCCTTACTCAGGTTCTGTTTCCTCTGCTTCCAGAGCATTCCCGGTGCGTTACCAGTTTCATTTTTCTAGTGAGATCAGTTTCTTGAGAGAGTTCCAGTACTTCTATGTTAGACTAACCTGGAAATATCACAACATAGCCTCCCTTCTTTACTTCCGTTTTTCCCCCCAGCACTTTCAAGTTTAGCTTAGCAACCAGTGTAGAGAGAGATCAGAATAACATGGAGGAATAAGGAAGTTGCATAAAGTCGTCTAGACTGAATCAGGTTTGGACAAAGAGTTCCGTAATTGACCCAGTTCATCCCTTTCTGAGTGAATTTTACTTGTAGAGTAAAAGGATGATTTTTTTATTTCTTTTTAGTTTCTAGATATACTCTTTCAGTTTTTCATTTAGCCTAGCTGTTTTTCTTTTCAAATTCAAGAGTTTTGGAGCAACAGACTGGGGTAGGGGATGCATCTTCATCCCACATCCTTAGGAGGAGATTGTTCCCTCTGTACGTTAATTCAGGAAATCACAAGTGCGTGTGTCACTGCCAGGCAGGATGTTGCCAGATATTATTGTGCACAGTTTGGCTTTTCAAAATGTCAGTTAACATCTGCATAAGTGAGTCAGCTAAACAAACATGAAACTACAGCTTTATAAATACAGAAACAGCAGAAACTGTCTTCTGCTCTGATCTTCTGCAGTTTGTAAATTATTTTTTGTCTTCTTTTTAATTATATAATAAATTATATAATAAATTATAT